TGGGGTTTGAACTGCCTGGGTACTGTTCCTCAGCTCTTCAGCTCAAGGCCAGCACTCTACCACTGGAGCCACAGTGCTCCTTCTGGTTTTCTGGTGTTTAATTGAAGATAAGAGTCTTACAGGCTTTGCTGCCCAGGCTGGCTTTGAACTGTAATCCTTAATGCTCAACCTCCTGAGTAGCTAGGATTACAGGCACAAGCACTGGCGCCCAGCATTTTTCTACATTTTTGAATACATATATTTATATAGGTGTGTATATATATGTGTGTATGTCTATGTGGATTTATGATTCTTACTTTATTCAATGGGTTAAAACGCTTCATTATCATTACTTTTTTTTGACTGATGAAGCTTGCCTAGATTGACAAGTGGATACCTTTTTAAACTGGCTGCTTTATCTCGTGTGTGTGTGTGTGTGTGTGTGTGTGTGTGTGTGTGCACACGCGCATGTGTGTGTGTGTGTGTGTCTTTATTCCTTGCATAGTTTCTTCTGGTTCAATAAGCTTTTCTGTCTTAGGCTTGAAATCAGCTATTTCCCCAAGCAGTCTGGATTTTCGGTAAAGAGTAGTATTTAGAGGTGAAGATCTGATGGCTTCTAGCACTCCCTGTTTTTTACTTTGTAAAAAAATAATACAAGAGGGAAATATAGAGAAAGGAAGTTACTGACCCACAATCTTATCTTGAGAGTATGGGAAAATACATCTTATTTAATCAATAACCAAAGGAGCATTTTCATTGAATTACAAAGAAGATTATTTTAATGAAAGAAGCGAAGAGTAGAATAAAAATCTTCTCAAGAGAAATATAATCACACAGAAACAAACATTGAGTCAGATAAGAACATTTCAAAACAAACTAAAAGAGCTGATATGGCTATACATACCTGTATTCTTAGCACTCAAGAGGTAGAAACGAGAGGATCACAAATTCCAGAGTAGCCTGGGAGGCATAGTGAAATCCTGTCTCAAAAAAAAATAACAAACAAAATAAGCTAAAGTAGTAATAATGATAGAGATAAATAAAATTTATAAAAATCCAAAAACATGAGGTAATTGGAGAAAGGAAAGAGAAAAGGGAGATTTGAAAAAAGAAAAAGTAGAACTTAAACAGGTAAAAAAATTATATATGGAAACTGTAAAAACACAGGAAAGAAACAACAGCACAGACAATATTTGAAGAGAAAAAGATGAAAAACATTTTAAAATACAACGCAAATGAAGAAACTAAAAGGACTTGAGAAAAATCGCAAAAATAGGTTAAAATCTTAAAATTCAATACACAAATTATATAAATGAGTTTGACATTTGGGAGATTTGCATGCATAGCTGTCATTTCATTCTCCTTAAATTCTATTAGCCATAGAGAATTTGTGTTACTTCTAAAGTATTTAACTCATATGTAGGCATCATATTAAAAAAGAAGTTTAAAATGATTTACATGCATAAAATGTAGGTATCTGAATAAAACCCAAAGAAATGATACAAGCAAAAGTTATTAACTATATTTTAAGTAAACTGAACTGAAATATAAGTCTATTTAAAATATGTCCATAAAAATCTCATGATTTTAAGAAGTCACATGAGAATGATTACACCAAAATGAATTCTGCCTGGGTGTGGTAGTGTGCATCTGTAACACTAGTTACTTGGAAGGATGAGGCAGGATGGTCACTTGCATTCAGGAGCACTTAGGACTTCAAGGTCAGCTGGGACTACCTAACAAGATCCATTTTAATGAGAAAAAAGTGTTCAAACTGCTGAAATTTTAAAATATTTTTATTATTTAGGCAAAAATACCAAATTTCTTGACAAGAAAGGAAAGCACAGTGTCACTGGTTATTAACAATAGTGGTTTTATGCCAAAAGATAATAGGATAACAAACTTAAGAAATTCAGTGAAAGTATTTGAGAGGATTTTATATCTAGTCAAGCCAAACTTTAGGAATAAAGGTTATATACAAACTGCTAGGAACATGTAAAGGATTGGAGGAAAACTATTCTTCTGAACTTCTTTTAAGGAGCTTCAGAAAGCAAAATGAATTAATTGATGCTAACATAAGAACTGATAAGGAGACATTTAAGTACATGTGTAGCTGGGAGCACTGATTAAACAATGGTATAAAAGAGACATAGTATGTTTCATACTTACTTTGATTAATGTCACTTTAAAAATATGCAACATGGCCGGGCGCCGGTGGTTCACACCTGTAATTCTAGCTACGCATGAGGCTGAGCTCTGAGGATCGTGGTTCAAAGCCAGCCCAGGGAAAAAAACTCCATGAGACTCTTATCTCCAATAAACCACTTGGAAAACTGGAAGTG